TTTCAAGCACACAATTGAAACTATGATCAAACAAATTATTACGGAGGTTGACCATCCTTCGATTTCTAAGTGTTTTTGAATAGTTGAAATAATTTGTGTGTTATTGATTTGTAGCTCATTAAGAGCTTCGAGTGATAACAGGTCGAGGTGGTCAATTTCAAAAGGGGTTGGTTGCGTCAGTGCTGGGATAACTTGAAGAGGGGAAGCCTCCAAATTAATGAAAGTCCTGTTATTAACTTTTATCGTGCTGTTATGAAATTTTATTATGAAAGTTCCTATTAAGGTATGGTTGGTTTCATCTATTGAGATTCTTCCATTAAAACCGTTAAGGAGGATTACTCCCGCGTCTATTTCTTCAATTAAAGCAATGTGATGATCGTTGCTCGTTGAGCAAGGGGAATTGCGACTTTCTATTAGATTAGGGATACATTTATTGTTTGATATATTTATTATGTCGCTCTCTTTACAAATCATTAATTTGCTTACTGTTCTACATTGATTTATTATTGCTTAATGTAGTTTTTCTGTTCTCAAAATATGTTCATATTTTACATTAATTATACTTTTATTTTTGTCTTACAGGTTTTACGATCTTATTTCTATACGTTTCTTTTGTAGTGATCGGTATCTTTACCAAATATAATATTTTTTTTGTTGTTGTACAAGACTGATACGTTGGCGAGTTCTAATGCCTCTTCTGGGCTTACAAAAGCAATATTTTCTTCTTTGACTTTATCTATGGCTAATTTAATTTCGTTCTTATCTAATATTAATGGGTTGACTATTCCAAGTCTTGCCCACTCAATACCAATTTGGATGTTTATTATTTCTTCCTTAACTAACCTTACTCTATTTTGCAAATTAATAGCTACTTCGTTTTCTAAATAGACGTCTTTTCTTATTATATTTGACATTTTGTTAATTATTTCGGTTAGATTGTTTATTCTTTTATTAAATTCCTCGTTAACATAAACTTGCTTATTATTATTCTTATTTAAATCATTCATATTGCTTGTTACTATCTCGAAGTCATCATGATCAGGACTTCCTGCAATATATTTCCAGATCGTGCCTATGGCATTTATTGATCTCTTATTTCTATCATAAGATGTTGGTGTTATATTTTCTAAAACAGAGATGGCTTGATTTAATTCGAGGAGAAGGGGAGGAGAAAGGTTGTGGTTATTTGGGATGTTTTCTTCAATGAAGGTTCGAGCGTCAAAAATAGTTTTTCCATATTCTTCCAAATCTATTGAATGAATGATTGTGAAGGAGCCCTGTTGGATTTTAGCAGCTCCATTGTCAATAGTGACAATATAGGGCGTAGTGTAGTCCAATATTTGAAATTCTGCTAGGGCGTAGGTGATGTACAGCCTAAAAAATAAATTTATTTTCTTATATTGTTTTTATGGACAATCCTGCCTGACATGGTAAGGACAGTCGTGTTTTTGTCTTCCTTTACCATTTCTTCTCTATACCTCGCAGAGAGTTTCGATCCTAGTCTCTTATTAATTTTTACGAAAATTTTTTTGTCCTACAGAGTAAGTTTTAGGTTCCTGTCTATTCTTGTTGTGTTATTCCAAATCTTGTTTTTGCTTTTCCGTTAGCCTATTGATGATTTCTTCCTCTTCTATTAAAGCTTTTTGTGGATCATTGTTTCTATTGAAATATATGTCTACCGGTTTGCATATTGTAGTGAATCGATGAATTGTATTCGCAAATCGCTCCGATTAATAAGTCGTGAAAAGAGTTGTGAAGCTTATCTGGTTTGAGACATCTCATGATTTCGGCAAGGGTGGAATGCAATCTCTCTATCTGACCGTTTACGGTGCTAGAGTAGGGAGGAGTGGTAAAGATATTTATTCCAAACTGGTTTTTAAGTATAAAAGTTATTGAGGCGGAGTTTAATGACTTTTCGTTATCAATAACAATTAACTTAGGGATTCCGTATGCTAAAAAGGGTTCTTTTAGTGGCTCTTTAATGTCTTCTATTGCCCTGCCCTAGATTTTAATATTTTCGCTTGGACATATTTGGAATACTTATCTATTGCAGTAAGTACCAAATATCCTTCGGTTGGGTAAATGTCTATATGAATGATTTTCCCCGGATTCCTTGGGATGGGTGTTGGTTGTAATTTAGGTTTATTTGGCTGACGGTCATATTTTTGCTCTTTACACGTCCTACATGTTTTCGCGATTCTATCTGTTTTTTCGGCCATTTTAGGGAAATAAAATTTTCGTTTAATCTTTTCTCTGTTTTCTCTTGAATTTCGATGGGCTCTTTTGTGTTCGTTAATCATGATCTCTTCTTGTTCGGTCTCATCAGTTACATCTTTAACCTGTGTCTGGGTAAATCTTATTTTGAAGTTCTTAAAATGTTCTGAATAAAATTCCTGTGTAATTCCCATGATTGGCTCGCTCGTGAATAAACCGATTACTATGCTTGGACTAAGGTATTTCTTAAAAATTGAGATTAGGTCTTCTTTTGAAATGCATCTAAGGCATTTTGATCTAAGGAAATTTTAGCATATTTGGAGGCGTTTTTCGAAACGCGTCCTTCCTCCCCTCTTAAAAGGGATGTCAGGGGCTTGGCAAGCTTCGCATAATCTTTGATGAAGCGCCGGTAATAACCTGACATGCCTAGAAAACTTCTTAGATCTTTAAGCGTTTTTGGTGGTGGTATTTCGGCTATTGCTTCTACTTTTTGCTTATTAGCTTTAATTCCTGAAGCTCCTACGATAAATCCTAAGAACTCAATTTCTGATTTAAAAAATTGTCTCTGTACCTTTCTTCTATGCCCTGATCACTTCCAAGGCTTAAATCCGCATTTGGGTTTATCATGGATTGCACTATGTTTCTACATTGCTGCGCACAAATACGTGCTATTCTAATTTCTTCATTGGGTTGCGCTTGTGCTTCTTGGTTTGGAATTTGAGGTGGAGAAGGTGGAACAGGAAGGTTAAGGAGAGCTGGTCTCAATAGGTTGTTAGGGTTAGCCATGTTTAGTGATATTTTTCAAGTTGAATAAAAGATAATAATGTGTTCCTTTTTTTTCTTAGGTAATTCTTCTTCTTCACTTTTCTAAAATTAAAATCGTGCTTAACTATGCTAGTAAAAAAAAAAACATTCTCTATTAACATAAAATTTGCATCACTTACAAGATAAAACACCTTTGTTTCATACTGTCGATGTAATTGAAATAGCTTGTTTGGTTTGACTGAAGTTAAAGCTGCTGCTGATGTACTGGAAATAGCTTGGTCGGTTTGGTTGAAGTTAAAGCTGCTATCGATGAACTGGAGATGGCTTTTGTTGGTTAGATGGATGTTAAAGCTGCTACCGATGAACTGGAAATAGCTTGGTTGGTTTGGTTGAAGTTAAAGCTGCTATCGATGATTTGAAGATAGTTTTTGTTGGTTAATTTTTTTGGAGATTGGATACAGGTTTNTAAGTCACACGATATACTGACCTGCTTCAAGAATAACATTCATATATGCTTATATATGTACATATGTATGTATATTCATATACTCATAGGCAAAAGCATACACACATATTATTTGCTTGAAAACAAATTACTGCATCGCTCTAAATGCTTCTCTGGTCTAAAAGTTCAAAGCTGATATCAAATACAACAATAACATTTTCTTTCATAGACGCCTGCGCCCTACAACCAAGAAAAGTGCGTTCATTGAAACAAGTTACTTTTTCGCTGCGTTGACAGGAGTCACAAAAAATTGGAAGCAAATATGGTCGCAAAAAGTGAAGCAAGAACAACATACATTAGCATGAGGAGGGCATGCCCGTAACATTCATGAGTCGTCTACAAGCACTGCTTAAAATTCTTGCCACTGACAAAGTCAATCACCATCTGCAGAAATAAAGCAAATCGGCATCGTGCTACAAAATTTTCTGTTCGCCTATTAGTGCATATTGCCCAGCAAGCAATTTCCTTGCCTTTCCGCATGCTCTTTGTCCACAAGATGAATTTGTGGCGAGGATGATGACAAATGCTACAATTCTAAAATATTCTAAAAGGTCCAGAAGATTCTAAAATATTCTAGAATATTTGATTTTAACTCTTCATCTACAAACAGTCCCCTAAAGTCGAAGTCAAGTTTTGTAAAAATTCAGAAATTGAAGTTGAGCAAAAATCACAAGCCCATACATTGCAAGCTTCAGATATGTACATATAACAAATGCGCACAAACTACTGTGAGATCCCTTTTCCCTTGCACCTTCACCAACAAGCTCCTTTCAGTTAGAAATTTTGTCAAAAGTCAGAAATCGATGTTGAGCTTGCGACAACGTGAAAACCCATACACTCAAGCAATTTAATATGTATAAGTTATTGAAATAAATTTTTTCTTTTAATATTAAAAAGAGAGGACTATGTCCTCTATGTCTCTTATTTAATTTGTTTTAAAATTAAGCACTAGAAGACTATGTCTTCTTTCTCTGCGTGCGAGTTTACAACTGAACTTAAAATAACTTAAAATTTCCTGAGCCATGATCATCACATTAAGTGCAACGTGATCAAGTGGAGTTGCATTCAATGCAGACAGTGAAAGCACACAATCTTAATAACTTGAATGCACTTCCTTCTTTCAGCCTAACATCATCGAGCGACTTCTTCGGGGAGATGGCGAAATTTGCAAAAATCAGAAATGCAAGTTGAGCTGAAGTCAAAAACAAACACATTCGAAGGTAACTGTTTGTATATGAAAGACGCATTCATACATGACCCCATGAAGAATAACACATTTTTATTTATAAACGCATGCGCCCTACAACAAAGCAATATGTCCATTTATAAATACCACTGCTCACATGCCTCCGCATACCCGTCTCAACACTTGCTTCATTTCGGCGGTCACAAATTCAAACATGTCAGGAAGAGTGGAGGCGAGATATTCGTCTGATATTTATATGCTTAAAAAATCTCAGTTCTTACCCGAGCTATCGTGTATAGAGACGGAGGGATAGACATTCCCAAAACGATTTATGTCACCATTCCATAAAGTTGTTAACATAGTTTATTCGATTATTTTAAAACCGTTAGCAGAACAAACCCAATGTACTCTGTTCGCGTAGTGCATTCCCGTAATAAAAATTAGCAAATCGTACAACTTCCCGAAATGTGAAGCAATAACAATATATAATATGTATAATATATTTGTATGTGGCATACACTAGCATTGCTTCAAATTCTTGTGACTTTGATAAAAATTCAGACCTTGTCTGCCGTCAAAAGCTAGGTTCAAAGGAAGAAAAGATGGATCCCTTGTTTTTGTTTTGATACGAAATTTCGTTTCGTCGTCATAATTGCCCCGCTGTGCTACGAAAATTGATTCATAGTTCTTTTCCCTTCTTATTAATATACGTTCTTTTTCAATAACTATTATAAGCAGGTAATTGTCGTCCATCACGCAGTCCATGGGCAAGCCCGTTGAACATCGCGAATGGAGACATTGTGGATATTATCCCAGATTAAATGCAGCAGCCGATCCACACAGGCATCTTCTTCTACACCTGCATGACTTCACTCACTCGCTTCATGGCTGTAGCATTCATCATATTTCATCTACGTTGTACACACCATCAGATTCTCGTTGAACCAGCTGACATACCGAAGATGGCAACCACCACACCATTCGGCATGTTCGAGTTTCGATTTATGTGTTTCGGAGTAAAACGTTTCAACCTTGCCACCTTGCCACCTTGCCAAGGATATCGATACTGCCTCAGAATAGTCGACCGCTACTCTCGGTGGCTGATGTCCACGCAAACAAACGCTTTAAACTCTTACATACTTGCTGAATTTGAAGTGCCAAGTAAATTGACAACTGATCCGGGTAGGTAACTCGAGTCTACTTTATTCAGAGATTTATCCAGACACTTACGCCCTAATGCACATCACGGACTTATCGAGCGTTGGTATAGGTCCTTGAAAACGGCGGTGATATTCCACATGACCAACAATTGGGTTCAAGCTCTCCGTTAATTCTTCTGGGTTTCTGGTCATCTGCTTACGCACACTTGGTTTTTTTTTACCAAACAACACACAAATCACATAAACGGATGCGATTTTGCCGAGAAACTACGCGCGCGAATGAACTCTCTCAAATAAGCTCCAACAAAAAACATCTGAGCGCATTTGAAGTTTTTGTACGCAACGATGCAGTTCGTCGGCCGCTCCAACCACCAAATGAGAAACTATTCCCTGTAGTCGAACTCAGTGAAAAGTTTCATAAAATCGATTGTAAGGATAAAACATAATCGTTTAAATTGACCGATTGAAAGCAGCCTTCGTAGCCGAAAAAAACAAAACAACGTCACTTATCAACCTAAGAGAAATGATGTGGCGAACATGACATAAACTAATTCTAAATAAAATAAGTTAATTTACTAATATCAATTGCAACACTGTGGGCATATCAATTTCCTATATAAGTAATAAAGATTTTGATCTCTTCCTTTTCATAAAATTTCCCTTATTAGCTGTAACGATACCTTTGTATAAATATACATATTTGTAACCGCTGAAGTGATTTTCGGCCGAGCTCCTCCTCTAATTTATGGCGCGGCCCTTGATGTTGAGGTACGAAAACGTTTTTCCTTTCATCATGAAGAGATAACGTGAAGAGACTGACATTCCCGCAATTAGAAAATTTATTTTTTATACCATTCGGCTATTGCGGCCAAAACCTTCCGAAACTGCAAAATCATTCGAATATCCGTCTAAATGTGTTAAAAGAAGAGATCCGCCGGTCTTTTCAAGAGGAATGTTTTGCTTTAAAACTAAAACCACAGTTCACTAGTTATCAATGTTCTAAAACTTGTTTTTAGTATTTCTTTTACCAGATTTATTAAACTAATTTCTTCTTGAATTCGGGGAAAAAGGCAGCAAGTAATATTAAATATAAAATTGTTATATTACAAAAAATATAGTTGGTAATTCTTGTAAAGTCTAAATAGGCTACATAATAATTTAATTAGAAAGTACGTGTGCTAAATACTCTATACGTGATGAATACCAAATGAATTAAACAAGATTCGTAAATGCGGCCTTATTTGAACTTTTTGACAAAATTTGTTAAAGATGTTATCGGAAATGCATGTAAATAGCGATAAGAAAATACGAAAAATGGATGAATTTGAGATTGTTTAGGCAATTTGATAAGCATATGCTATATTATTGAGTGTATGCATTAATTAGTGCGCTTTGTTTCGAAAATTAGGATTTTATTTTGAAAAAATTGTCATGCATTTAATATTCAAAGTATTGCCCATTGGAAGCTCCGATGTTTGCCCATCTCTCTGGCAGTTCGTGGATCCCATCCCAAAAGAACTTCTCCGGCTTGGAGGTCAAGAAAGAATCGAGCCAATTTCTGATGCCCTGTTCTGAAGTGAACCGTACTCCGGTGAGGACATTCTGCACTGATTTGAACAAGTGCTAATTGGAAGGTGCTATGTCTGGGCTATAAAGCGGGTGAGGTAGAACTTCCCACCCACAGTTTGCCAAATAGTTTTAGTTTAGTTTGCAACATGTGGCCGGGCGTTGGCATGATGAAAAATTATTGATTCAAGTTAAACATTTCGTATGTTACACAATAACCAATAAACTAGATTTTGGTAACCCAAAGATAACTTAACAAATAACGAATCAACCAGTTGTCGGTGCTCAATGGATATAACCGGCGTAACCCTCAGAATTGAAATTAAATACTTTTGTCTCTGAAACTGTCCTCAATTGATATATATCTCAATAAAACAAAAAGACAAAGAAAAAATTATCTATGCTGTTTTCATGGAAGCACTTCATTGACATTTAACTAAAATTGGTTTAAGAGCTTAATAACTAAAACGAAGCGGTGATCTACAATTAATGAAGCAGTATCAAATGATAGATAACTTAATACAGGACTTTCACATGGTGCTGTACTGACCCCGATTGTTTTTAATATCCAATGATCTTTTGCTTCTTCTCCTCCTTCAATTTAAGCGCGCCATCCATCACTTCTTTTCTCCGTTTGGCTCCACTTAGAAATACCAAGTGAAGCCAGGTCCCTCTCCACATAATCCTTCCAACGCAGTGGAGGTCTTCCTCTGCTTACACCAGCGAATACTGCATCGAATACTTCCAAAGCTGGTGTGTTTTCATCCATTTGGACAACATGACCTAGCCAGCGGAGCCGATGCTTTGGATTTCAAGGCTGACATTATTATTTGTGTTAACGCTGGTC